AAGTATAGACTATAATTTCCAAAATGTGAAAACAGATTCATACGAGGAAAATAAGTAACAAACAGACTAATGTAAAGACAGATTAAAAGTATAGACTATAATTTTCATTATATTATTAAGACTTGAGAGCAAAGTCAATAGGAGTAATCTTTAAAATCAAATTTACGAGGCTGTGTTACACAACACACATTCACTAATTAGCACAAAATGGAAGAAATTTTATTGTTTTCTTTAGAAGAAAATCAAACGCGACACACACTACTACACATGTTGTCACCTGTGGTTTCACTTTTTTTTTTAATTTTTTTTTTCTAAATCTATTTTATTATTTTTATTTTTGTTTTCTTTTAATTCCAAAATATAATATATTCAATCAAATTCAAATGAAAAGGGCAACATTTATTGTTATAATAATATGAACCTGAAAAGGAATTGGAGGCTAAGATTTCCTATATTCACAACTTCACGTAAGCAAGAACTAAATTATATGGACCTGATATTTAGTTGATTTTATTTAACTTCCTCATATTTTATTTTTGCTAAAATACGTAGGTAGATACTTAAATTTTTCCTTAATTATCCGTTTGATACCAAAATTATGTATCCAGGGATCATCTAGATACATTAACTTAATTATAATGTCTCTTAAACACAAGTATGATCTAATGTAGAACATTATGCATCTCAAAGTCAAATTTGAGTACATGAAATCCTATTTTTACCTGTATTTTCTCTTCTTTTTAAAAAATAAATAAATCTAGAAAGGACCTTGATTTCATTATTATTGTTACATATTGTTTCATAATGTATCGTATTGTGAACCTTAACTTTTGTTTATGACCATCTAAACATCTTATCCTAATTTAAGTTGGTTCTATAAACATACTCTAATGCATGAATTGCACTCGTCAATAATAAGGCAAAGTAACAAATAACAAAATTATTTTTATAAATGCAAATTGTTGAATACTTTGTTAACAAGGGGTATTCAAGTTCATTGTCACATGAACATCCATTTTTTTAACTAAGTCGGGCCTCAAGAGATTAAAAACAATGGATAAAGATAGTTTTTTAAAGGTTACATCGTACTTTTAGAAGTAAAAATAAGTTTTAAGATTTTTTTTTTCTAATTTAATGAGTTTGTTAACGAAAGAGTAATCATGTTTTAGATGGATGACAAGTATAAATGTGTCACTCTTTAATGGGACATATCACCTGCAAAGTTAGAAATTAAATGTACATTTGCCCTTTTCCCAATCTATATATATATAATAAATGAGAAATATAGAGATGTAAAATCTCTCTATGGCCTCCATTTGTATTTATCTTTTTTTCTTTTTTTTTTGACATTTTTTTTCTTATTTAAATTAATTATTGTGTTATAGAAGTAAATTACTTAATTTATTATAAATAAATATTTTATTAATGGAGTAACATTTATAACAAAGACTCTTCACATTCTTTTTTCTTTGTTAGCCTCACTTTTAATCATAAAATGATAATATATTTTAATATTTTAAGTGTTTTTTTCTTATTACTTAATTTATTTACGAGGAGTAATTACCCATGACTTACACCTCTTTAAATTTTATTTTTAATAGGCTTAACCCATCGGCGACTTCCTAAAATTGACATCATATTTCACTTAGACACCTTAACTAAGTAATGATGTTCATTTTAGATAATCCATATAGAGTCTCATTGTGTCATTTTGATACTTTTTGTTTACATGACATAATGAGTGTATTACACTCATTGATTGACGGGTGAAATAATTATTTAATTAATTTAAATTATTTTTTCTTCCTTTTCCCCATTTTTTGCCACCATTTTTGCCTAAATTAAATTTCATCCATTGTAAACGAAGATTTCAACAAAATAACTGAGTAGATTTCTTTAAACTAAGTAAAAAATTTCTTTAAACTAACAAAAATTTTCCATTCGCCATCAAGCTATTTATTAAGCCCAAAAAAAGGAAGAAAATGATCATAGCTGCGGATGTTTCAGCAAAAAGGAAATGCCAACGGGGCGGCCAGTTTTGCTGCAAAAGACATTTTGTTTGTGTGTGGGTGGCGGGGGGTGGGGAACCAATTCGGGAGGGGATTTTGGTTG